TGCTAGGATCAGGAGGGACGGCGGCTGATGCTTCCTTGTCCAAGTCCGGATCGGTACGCGACATGACAGGACTCTCTGGAGTGCGGGGTTCCTCCGGGATCGCGGGGGGCAGGCCGGAGCTGGGCATGATTGGGGATACTGGAGAGCGGGTTTGCTCTTCTCTGCTCTCGTTTGGCACATCGATTTGCGCAGGTCGACTGCTGATTCTATCCTTGCCAGCAGGGGACAGGGTATGGTTGGACGCGGGTTTCTCCGAATCCGGTTGCGCCGGGCTTCTGGTACGGTCTCTTTCCGAATCTCTCACGCCATCCCGAACCTGCGCAACCTTGGCTTTGAACTTTCCAAACAGGCTCCGCTTCTCGGGCTCTATGCTTTCCTTTGAAGCTGCGATATTGCTTACCTCAGCGTCCAGGCTCAAAGGTTGCTGGGATGGGTCGTTGGCGAACTGCTGCAAATCCGACGGAGAGCTCTTGCTTGATTGGTGCCAACTGCCCACTGACGTCGTGCTGCGCTCAGCGCTGGGATTTGATGCGGAAAGGGGTGGCGACGCAAGACCGAGTCCGATTTGTTCGTTGCTGCGTTTGGACGACCGAGGGAACCTCCAACTCCGTCGATGTTCCCTGCGGTCCGCCTTCTCGTCTGTCTGATCCAAATCCGAATGATCTGTGAATGAGGAGCGAGAGTTCATAGAAGGTGTGCGCGAGCCATGCGGTTTCAGCGAATTGTCTGCATTGTGTACGTCGTTCTGCACACCTGGCGTCTCTTCGCCAGCGTTAATGGTGGCCTCATCTCCGGGATTTGTCGTGTTAGGGGGTCTAGGGGTCGCCCCTCCGGCTTCGCCATCTGCATCGTGTGCCCGTGCAGCCGAGGGAATGACGGATTCAGATGGCGCTGCCTGTAGTGACAGAGAAGAACTGTGGGCACTCTCGCTGGCACTTCCTGGAATCCGCTTCTTCTTCAGGCGATTTGGCTGCCGGGGTTCCTTCAGCTCACCGTTCTGCGGAGGGGACTTGGTGAAGAAACTGGACAACTTTCGCTCTTTGGTTGGAGTCACAACGGGCGGCGGAGGAGAGGACACCAGGGTCGTTAGAGGGTCCTGGATGACAGGCTTCTCGGTGATGGGCGCGACACCTTCGGCAACCTTTGGCATGGGACCATGGGTCGATGAGTGAATGTAAGTAGTGCCAGTTTCGGCGTTAGATCCTGACGGAGGCGCCGGCGTCGTCTGGCTGCTTTCCTCCCGCGATGTGGGGGGGCGGCTAGATGACCGGGAATTTTGGACAGAAGGGTTGAGCCCAGACGGTTGGACACTGGTTGATTCCTGAACCCTGCCATACCTCGCGGAAGATATTGGCGACATCTTAGATGGCAATGTGTTGCTCCGATGGACTCCAACACCACTCAAGGATGTGGGTGTCACCGGTCCAGGAGAGTTGTTTGAATGACGCGAATGCTTGGAGGAGACGGAGACGTTCCTACGCAGATTCTCGTATTTGCGGAAGCTATCCGCGCCGCCGCTCGCGCTGGATACTGAGCGTCTAATGTTGGAAGTCGTCGTCGTCGTCCGGCGAGGAGCACCGCCCTCGACCTCCTTCAGAGTCTGTTCATCTGCGGCAGTACCATTCATTCCGAAAAGGAAGTGGTCCTGGTTTTCGATCAGGAAGATTAAAACATCCTGACTCAGTTTATACTCATCTGGCGACATATCGTGCTGTGGGTGAGACAGTAGCCCAGGTTGAAAAATGGCAGAGAGGTTAGCCGATGTCATTCGATTTTGGTCAGACTTGGACGCAAAGACGGCGAGGAGATCAAGGATGTAGAGAAGCAGTTGTTTGTTGAGTGGAGGAAGTTCCCTAATTAATTGCTGGTAGGCCGCGACAGCCTTTGCGTGATCAAAAGCATCCGAATCAGCCGAGGATCCATTTTCCTGAACCTGCCTCTGGTACGCGCGTAGCGGCTCGCGAAACCGCTCGTAAAAGTCCAAAGGGACGATCGGCTCTGGGAGTTGATTAAGGTAGCGACGCAGGACATTTGCAGCATCGTGCACAGTGTATCCGGTCCAATCCAGCCCTTTTCCATACCGCTCCGGCGAATCAAAGATTTCTTGCAGATCCTTGATACGTTTCGCAGATCCATTTAGACGGAAAATGCCTTCGACGTCCGTTGCTGGAAGTAAAACCGCAATCAGTAGGCCGTTCGCCCGAGCAGAGGAGAAGTTCGATTATTTGTACCTTTTTCCTTCAAGAAAACACCACACTTGGCGACGACGATGGGCACATAACCATAGATGAAGCTTTCGCCATTATCGTTTGTGAGGGAGATTGCGACATTCGCATATTTGATGCTGACATTGAGGGGAACACCGAAGATACCCTGAGGCTTTTCTGTGAGAAAAGGCGGATTAGCCTCACGTAAGAAATAGGTCGCGGCAGTAATCCAAGCATCAAGCAAAGCAGGTTTCTGTATACACTTGTAGCAATTGCATGCAGAATGGATGTAGCAAACATAACAAAAACAGGGCTAGCGGTCAAGTTTGTTGAACTGGAGGAAAGGTGTCGCATAGGCCAAGAGCGCTCGTTCGCACCCAAGGTCACACATCCCGGGCAACTCAGAAACCAGCGCATCCAACAGACAAGGGATTTTTCGTTCCAAGAACGTACCTTTGACATCCTCTTTCCTCGTGTTACGTTTGAACTGCCTCCACCAAGATGCTAGGTCTCGCTTTGATGGTGGAGAGGTCGCGATTCCGGCATGGTTCGCAGAGGGTGGGAGTGGGTGGATCGGCTCAGTGCCAGGCTGCGACTTGCCTGTCACCATGATGTCGAAAGTCCTCGAGAAATGTACGTTGGTGGGAGGTCAATAGGGACTCTTGTTCGAAAGAGTACCTCTGGGATAAGTGATAAATTATCGAGTCCTTTGTCACCGCCCTCGTGTTTTCGCAGGAATCCCGAGGCTGGAACTGATCCCAAAATAGCACGAGGACTAGTCAACCAGCGGAAGAAAGAGCCGCGCGCCGTCCGCAACGCCCCCAGCGGATCGCCGAAGGAGACGGTCAGTTAATATTGCGGGGAAATCAAGTTCGATAAGTCCCGTGGATGCCTCGATGATAAATGCGACCGAGGGGCGATGAGATGGTGCTGGAATATTGAGGACGGGAGTATGGGGGAAAGAAGAAGGAAAAAGGGCGGGAGAAAAGTGGTCAAGTCGGAGGGGTTAAGGGTAAGGTGGATGGAAGAAAGGGTGATTGGAGAGGCACAAGGGACGGTCACTCTCTTCAGGCTGACAGTGGCTTCAGGCTCCTCTGGGAACTGTGGAAAGGGAGGGGAAGAACCAATCCCTTAGAGAAGGTCTCAGTCAAGGGAGTGAAGACTAAATGGGGACAGGGGTGGGTTTTGCATTCAATAATCAGTTAGAACGCCTGAAAGAGAGGAGGAGTAGAGAAAGGATTGGCGGAACACCACGAAGGAGATGGCGATGGAGGAGGATGAGGGGCGTTGATGGGCTGAACCGATTATTATTATTATTATTATCTTACGCATCGACAACTATGACCATGACCGCTGAGGTGATCGACTACCATCTACGGAGTACATACATAATGACTAGGGAGGTACCTTACAGGGCGCTATGTAATGATTGCTTATTGCTATATGAGTTGTGAAAAGACCCAGAACCAAGGAACCAGCTCTGGAAGTTTGGAGTCCTGCTTGTCTTAGGTGTCTAGACTATCGAAAAAGCCGATGGGACGCTGACGATTCTCCGCCCACATTAGCAGGTACGGCTAGTTTCGACTAAAAGGTAGCACTAGACTAAGGTAGTAGATTAGTTAGGTACCAAGTACCGACTGTGTCTTCTCGCAGGGAAATTTTAGTAAGAGACTCACCCCCCCCTCTTAAGCAATCGAGACCCTTGGGTCCAGATAACCTAGTCGGCAGGGCCCAAACACAAAGAAAGGCACACCACCATAACTAAGAATGATTTAATGACGATGAATCGAACAGGCACTTCACTACTCTGTAAACTACGTAACTGACATACCGAACTCTTCCCAGGCTAACAGGGGTACACGCCACAGATGTAAGCTCAATATATATGCTAATTGAACTATCTCGAATACGGATATTGCCATACCAGTCGGAGTCTGCCGCGGCACAGTTAATAATTAATCTACGGTTAAATTCAGATAGGTAATGCGTGAAGCCACTGATCCACCAAGACCACTCAGAAGCAAATGCCAGTATGCCACATAAGTAACTGTGGACAGAAGAGGCATCGGGAACTTTTTTGCAATAAGGAAAACCTCCTATCGGAAACTAGCCGTTAAGTGCATAGATAATTCAAGCCTGAGCAAGAGAGCATTCACCCCATTGATTATTAGCTGGCTGTGGCCACTTACATAGTAAGGTATGTATGGGTGGTGACCCTGGCGGGGTTGGCAATGTAGCAAGGCTGACAACCATGGTTCCGTCCATGCCACAATTTCCACATTAGTCCAGCCTGTCCAGGACTCCAGGGCCCAACTGCTGGCTGGTGGCGGCGCTCTTTTCTTAAATTGGATGCAGGGCTTTCCTAAAGCGGTTAGTCTCTTTGGTGTAGAGTCAAGTTGGTTGGTGACATTTCGGGTGTGGATGAGCTTTCTTCCGTTGTATAACCGCGGCAGTGAGCTGAATGACACTGATTAAGCGTGATTCTCAATAAGTGCTCATGAAATTGGTGTACTGAGTAGCTGCGATGAACCTTCAGTTGACCCGAGCAATAAATTCTCAGGTCCACGCTTAAAATTCGCACATTGAGGCATCATCCTCATAATCCAGAGGTACACGTAGTTGATTGAGGTCACATGAGCTCATCAAGTATCACGTGACTGAAAAACAGTAGCTTCCGCAGCATCAAGGTTATCAAAGTGCCGGTCCATCAAATATTATCGTGCTTGCTCGAAACATAACGTCTGCATTTCTCTCTTTGCTTTCTCTTGCAAGCCACATCTAGATCACATCATAATGGACGGGTAAGACCTTTTTACCCACGGAGTCTTTACCAAGCACTTTTTGGTATTCGTGCGCTAAACTAACTGGAACATCAGACTTACAGCCGCGGAACAGCGAGAGCTCGCTTCTCGCATGGAAAGGAAGCAACTGAAGGAGTTTATGACTGTATGTTATTATCTGTCGCCTTGATCCGGCTGCCCAACGTGTCCTACCCAGTGTTCAATATCTTCAATCCATCGACCGGCGAGGCCTGCTTCTGACTGTTTTTTCGCCATACAGATGTACTCCAAGCTCGTCCAGCGCTGCTTCGACAACTGCGTCAACGACTTCACCACCAAGTCTCTCATCTCCCGTGAAGAAGGTTGTGTCATGCGCTGTGTGGACAAATATATGAAGGCTTCTGGTCGCTTGAACGAGCGCTTCCAGGAGCAGAACGCTGCTATGATGCAGGGTGGACAGATGCCCGGCCGGTAATCTACCTCTGGTCCTGTCTCTTCTCCTCGTATGGTGTATAAAATGTGTTGGGTTCTATTTCACAGCCCTGGGGCATGATTGTCTTCGGCTCAATGAATGGGCATTTGGGCTGGTTCCTGCATGAAAGCGGAGGAGAATCCTCCTCGAAGGAGCTGTAGTGAGAGGTATCGTCTTGGGCTTGCTTTGATCTGTGTAACATGTACCATATAGCATATTCCTACTTTTGTGACTCATGAGACGGTAGCCCTTGATGGGATGAAGCCCGTCGCATTGTCCAATACAGAAAAATCGAGGCACTGAAGCCACAAAACTCGGAGACATTTGAGACGATCTACTTTCATAGGTATCTGTCTAGGCAATCTGTAACTCAGTATGATGCAGTTGGAGCTTTCTTATCAAAGAAAAGCAAGCCTGATGCAAGGATAGGTTTGGGAAAAAATCTCCAACTTGGGTGATTGTGTTGATCAGTACGATCTAGTTCCGTCCTAGGATCGAAACTTATCGGTCGATTTGTGTCAAAGCTGTGAGATTAGTCAATTATTTTGAACGATAAAACGCAGCATTCTGTTATCATCTATCTATCCAATTTTTCTCCTGGTAGCTATCTTGCCTCATAGGCTCGTAGCTGGTGATGGTCTTGGCGGGACACGGACCAAATGTCGCCCGGAAAACATTACCCCTTTCGACACTTCTCTCGTCATAGCTCAGGCTGGTTGAGAGAACAGGCCGAACTCGGCCTCGAGCTCGAGATCTGGCTGTATAGAGGTCGTCGAGCTAGGATAATATTTCTCAGTTGATAACTGAGAATTAGTTGATAACTGAGATGTAGCGTATAGACGTGTTGCTGAGCTGGCTCTGGAGTTCATATTCCCCGAGAGGTTGATTGCATCATAGTAATGAACAGTCTATCGTACAATGAAGTTGAATCAAATGCAGCACCAGAACATCACAACATCAATTGGAGAATGCGGAGACATGAGGGGATTATATGCAGTTCTGGCTTGTTACTACTATTATTATTATTATCAAAGATCCACCTGTCAGGATCTAAATGTCGCAGGAAGAGGAGTCATAACCCGGAATTCTATGAGACTGCCAACCCGAGAGTTTCCCGTCGGCGTCTACCCCTCACCCCACCGTCATCCCCTCCCCCTCGTCGAAATTTGACCTCCTCAGAAGACCAAAGGTCCACTTCCCGATCGACTCGTCTCGAGCAACGTGGTTTCTTATAATCCGGGTTGCACGCTTATCGTCTTCCGCCAGAAAGACATTTCTTTACTTCACCTTCCCTGCGCTCCTCTTCCGCAGAGTTCCCGTACCATCCGAACTCCGATACCCGTTGACATCATGGCCGACACTGTTGGAAAGGTGAGTCGATATCGGCAATATACCATCAGAATTGACCGTTTTGTCGTGAGAACTAGCTGCTGACCGGACCTTAGACCATCACTTGCAAGGTACGACCATTGACGCAACTGCTCCCTTCCCGATCCAGCTTGACTAGGTTGTATTGCGATGCATCCGCACACACAAGCTAAATCATACTTGGGAAATCTAGGCTGCCGTTGCATGGGCCGCTGGCGAGCCTCTCTCGATTGAGGATGTCGAGGTTGCACCTCCCAAGGCTCACGAAGTCCGTATCAAGGTTCTGCACACTGGTGTCTGTCACACAGGTTGGTACCTCTAGCTTGGGAAGAACCTTCAGGGAAAAGGTGGCCACGGCTAATCGGCTTTCAGATGCCTACACACTGTCTGGAAAGGACCCCGAGGGTGCTTTCCCCGTCATTCTCGGACACGAGGGTGCTGGTATTGTTGAGTCGGTAGGAGAGGGTGTCACCTCGGTGAAGCCCGGTGACTATGTCATTGCTCTCTAGTACGTTCCAGCGATGAATCAGCCGAGAAATATCCAGCTAACGCCAGTATAAAGCACCCCCGAGTGCCGTGAGTGCAAGTTCTGCAAGTCTGGCAAGACCAACCTCTGCGGAAAGATCCGTGCCACACAGGGCAAGGGTGTGATGCCCGATGGTACTTCGCGGTTCAAGGCCCGTGGCAAGGACCTGTTGCACTTCATGGGCACCTCCACCTTCTCCCAGTACACCGTTGTTGCTGATATCTCTGTTGTCGCTGTCACACCCAAGATCCCTACTGACCGGTCCTGCCTGCTTGGTTGTGGTATCACCACCGGCTACGGTGCGGCTGTTGTCACCGCCAATGTCGAGGAGGGCTCGAACGTAGCCGTCTTCGGTGCTGGCTGTGTCGGTCTTTCCGTCATCCAGGGTGCTGTCAAGAACAAGGCGGGCAAGATCATTGCTGTCGATGTCAACGACAGCAAGGAGGCGTGGGCTCGCAAGTTCGGTGCCACCGACTTTGTCAACCCCACCAAGCTCAACGGCAAGACCATCCAGGAGCAGCTCATTGAGATGACCGATGGTGGTTGCGACTACACCTTTGACTGCACCGGTAACGTCGGTGTTATGCGCGCCGCCCTGGAAGCCTGCCACAAGGGCTGGGGTGAGAGTATCATCATCGGTGTTGCTGCTGCGGGCCAGGAGATTTCTACCAGACGTAAGTGTGGGCCCTTTTTTTTTTATTCAATGTACTCACAGTCAATAGCATTCCAACTCGTCACTGGCCGTGTGTGGAAAGGATGCGCGTTCGGTGGTATCAAGGGTCGTACACAGCTGCCCGGTCTGGTCGACGACTACCTGGACGGCAAGCTCAAGGTGGACGAATTCATCACCCACCGTGAGCCTCTCTCCAAGATCAACACTGCCTTTGAGCAGATGAAGCAGGGTGACTGCATCCGCTGCGTTGTCGACATGTCGTAGAGGGGTTATGTTTCCTTGATGTGTAAAAGCAGATACAGAACGACTGACGATCTATGGCGTATCAATATACCATTTTTATTTCAATTCACTGTATAAGTTTGATGCAATTCGCACAACTGAATGATATAGTCAACGGCGTACGCAGCGACTACTTGTACGTCTTTAATGCTCGCAAGGTCCTCACTGCAGTGTGTATCTGTCAGTGCCCAAGGACCTTGCTGATCCTTGATCTTCTACCACTAGTATCTGCCCCTCTGCAAGGAATCCTGTCCGACAGAAGACGCGCACCTTCTCCACCACAGACATTCCCCATCAGCTCGACCCCGCAGCGGAATTATCCATGAGTACTCCGTAACTCCAATGGTAATAGCACCATCATATCAGCGGATAACGTCCGAACCGCGAATCCATCGGAGAATGGATAAGGATGCATACTGATAAGCACACAAGTTAGAGACTCCCAGACGCGCCGTCTCAGTGACATGAGGTTGTCGAGACACTGACCTGCAGTATAAGAAGGGCTGCTACCACTGCTCTTCCAGCACCTCCACAACATCATCCAGCAGACAAAAGAAACTAAAACATGGCCATGGAAATCCCCCTCCCAGAACCCTTCGCCTCCATCCCCCGCTACACCCTCACTCTTGGCCCCTCGCCCATCCACCCCCTCCCCAACACCTCCGCAGACCTACACACCCGCATCTACGCCAAACGCGAGGACCTCAACTCCGCCCTCGCCTACGGCGGCAACAAAACCCGCAAACTCGAGTACCTGCTCGCCGATGCCGTCGCCGCAAACGCCACAACCCTTGTCTCCATCGGCGGCGTCCAATCCAACCACACCCGCCAGGTCGCCGCCGCCGCCGCACACGCCGGCCTCACCGCCCGCCTCGTCCAGGAGCACTGGGTCGATTGGTCGGATGCGCACTACGACAAGGTAGGCAACATCCAGCTGTCGCGGCTGATGGGGGCGGAGGTACGGCTGCACCCCGCCGGCTTCGGGATTGAACACAAAGAAAGCCTGCGGCAGCTGATGGCGGAGTGCGAGGCGCGCGGCGAGCGGGCGTACTACATCCCTGCGGGAGCATCGGACCACCCGCTTGGCGGGCTGGGGTTTGCGCGGTGGGCGTTTGAGGTGCGGGCGCAGGAGCGGGAGATGGGGGTCTTCTTCGATGTGGTGGTTGTGTGTGCGGTGACGGGGAGTACGTTTGCGGGGATGATTGCAGGGTTTAAGTTGCTGGAGCGGATGGAGCCTGGCAGCAAGAAGCGGCGGGTTATTGGGATTGATGCGTCGGCGAGGCCGGCGGAGACGAGGGCGCAGGTGCTCCGGATTGCGAAGAATACGGCTGTTAAGATCGGGCTGAAGGAGGAGGATATCTCCGAGGAGGATGTGGTTCTTGATGAGAACTACCATGAGGGGGTTTATGGGGTGCCTGGCGAGGGGACCATCAAGGCTATGGAGTATGCGGCGAGTAAGGATGCGTTCATCACGGACCCTGTGTATGAAGGGAAGAGCTTCGCGGGGTTGATTGATTTGGCGAAGAAGGGCGAGTTCGACGGGAAGACCGTGCTCTACGCGCATCTCGGGGGGCAGCCGGCTTTGAATGCGTATAGCGAAGTTGGTAGGGCAAAGTAGGCATCAAGGGATGGACACATGTGACGGACTTAACACTAGATCACATAGATAGGCCACAAGATGTATACGAGTTGAGACATATATATTTGGCTGGACGAGTGCGATGTATATAACTGTCATTCCGTTTTGAATGAAGAGCGTGGGTTGGATATGGTTTATTTCAGAATCTGCCTAGATGTATTCGTGATCGACGGGTTGCCATCATGCATCTCTCCTCACTCTCAGTCCTACATAGGTCGGGTTGGTAAGAATTCGATGAATACTAGTATGCGCTTCCTAAACATGACCAGCTACAACGGCATGACCGGACAGGTAAATACGATGATTGAATTCAGATTAATGAGCGGCTATAGTTGGCTATCGATAGACTGTTGAAAGACAAATGCGATATCAGAATCCTCCAAGGACTCCTGCTAGAAGAGCTTGTGCTCCAGGGTCATCTCAGAGTCAGGCTGGAGACCAACACAGGCCCGGAAGATGTTGGTCAGAGCGGACCGCTGCTTGGCGAGAGCATTGACAACAGGGGTGCCAGGAGGAGTCAGAGGAGCCTGTAATGCATTAGTCTATGCGCGCAGAAAGATGCTAAGGATACATACCTTGAGCATGTAGCTCAGGACGCTGAGAACACTGTGGAATCCCTTGTACTCGGCGTCGTCGGTCGACTTCCAGGTGATACGAGTCATCATTTCGGCAATGACAACCAGGTCGATGATCAGAGGGGAAGCAAGCAGAGAGTCCTCGCAGATGTTGAACAAACTGATGGTCTGGTGGCCGCCCATGAAGATCTCGGCGTAGTACTCATCCAGAGCACGCTTGTTGTCACCGACAGCGGGCATGTACTTGATGACAACAGTGTGGTCGGGGTGTTCGCCCTCCTTGTACAGGAGGTGGTTGGCCGCGACCATGTCATCAACGACATTGGACTTGGAGATCTCCTTGGAACGGAACTGCTTCTGGGAGCTCAAGTTCTTGCCATCGTTGTTACCCAGGTGGTTGTAGCTGGCGATCGAGGTGAGCTTGATACCTGCGTTGATCAAAAAGTCAACCAGAGCAGACTTCATCTTGGTCTGGCCCGACTTGAAGTCGTCACCACCAATGAAGGAACCATGCTTCTCAGCAAGCTGGATAGCACCGGGAACGAAAGTGTTCTGGGGAGATCCGTTGATGAACGGAACGTTGTCCAAGATGCAAGCCACCGCAAAAATGGTAGAGGGAGAGACCTCCTGGTGGCCGGCCTTGATGGCGTTCAGCAGGTTGTCTGCCGTGTCATTGACACCGGGGATGATATCAGCGTAGCGCTCGGTGTTGGCGGTCCACATGACAATGACCTTGTCCAGGCCGTTCTGAGCCTTGAAGTCACTATTGCCTTCATTAGCATCTTATATGGTGGGACCAGTTGGTTGCACTCACCGCATGTCCTTCTGGATACGCTCAACGTGAGCCCAGCACGCCTTGTCGCCCTCGATGACATTGTCTGCACGGTCTTCCTGATTGGCAGCAATGAAATCGGGATAGTAGATACTGGGCAAGGGCTTCATCTCGGCCAGCTCCTTACGGACCAGCTGCTTGAGGGATGGCTCAAGAACCTGCGCCCGATCCATGGCATCGGCAATGTTCATGCTGCTGATGTCCCAACCGCCAATGACAAGATCATTGGGGTGGACCATCGGGAGCATGTCATGGAACGGAATGTTGATCTCCTCACCCGTCTTGCGATCGGTACCTAGCTTGACGGTGGAACTCATGACAACGGAGCCGTAGTAGTTGGCAGCGCGCTCGCCTTCGCGGGTCTCCCAGACGAGGCGGCGGCGGTTCGCAAGGATACCAGCAGTCACCGTGGATCCGTTGTTTCCACCCCAACCGACCAGCATCATACCGACCTTGCCGACCTTGCGGTCGACCTTGAACTGGTAGTTGGTCACCTTGGGAGTGGCAACCATCTTACCGTCGGCATTGCGAGTAATGTCAGTGGTGTGGTAAGCATACTGACTCTTGATCTCGTTGTCAGTGTACTCAACGTTGGGCGAGTTGACGGTGAAAAGAGGACCGGTGGTGGTGGTACGACCCGACCCGTTCACGGCGCCATTGGCAGCAGCATCCGAGCTTGCGTGGGGAGCCATTGCGTTAATACTTGCTTGAAAGCTCGAATGATTTATTGGATGTATAGTGAACTATCCGGTGCTCCACCACGAGAGGATGAGCGCCGGCCGTTGAACGGGTGGTGACGCCTAAAGACAAAGCATGTCAGCTGGGATCAATTGTGATGTTATTCACTCGCAGGTCGAAGAAGGAAGGCTCAATTTGAGCTTCCTGACCTGGAGACGGGGAATGGTTCTGGACAAAACACAGTACTTACGAGTTGAGAAGTGTGCCGAAAATTTTGACGGTTTTTAAGCGATCACGCCTCAGAGAGTGTGATCAGAAAGCTTAGAACCAGGAAAATTCTTGGACTGGAGAACAGAAGCTGATGTACGATGTGTTGAGGGAGAAAGAAAACCAAACGAAAGGGGGCGATGGCGGAAAACGGCAGGATATTTAAAGCGGACCACGAAACTCCTTAGTCACGGTCTCCCGCATTGCTCCGCAACCCACACGCTCCATCTCAGAGATTATCCCCAAGGTTCTACCCCAATTAGGCCCGAGTTGACAGTATGTAGTGACTTGCTAGTGATAACGAAAACAGGATTCAAGGGAAGTGAATTATCAGTTGCGGTGTGACTATCAGTAAAAGTACAGATACCCAGTGTCTCGTGCCCCTCCAAGTACCCCTCCATTAGTACTGTCCATTGGTCTACTATCTGCCTCTGTACAGATCGAAGCAACACTTTTCTTTGTATAATCTTTCAGAGCCCTGCTCATTGATTGCTACTGACAGTTGGTGAAGCTCCCAAAGCTGCTGCCTGCATGCTGAGCACACGTTGTTCCTCGGTAGATAGCACCAGATAGATACACCAAGACTTAGTTGATATGCAAGGTTCCATAAATGCAGGTCGGGCGCCACTGTTCCGTCCATCTCAATCTTTGCTGTCGTTTTTCAAAGCTAGTCGCCTAGTGCTTTATTTACTGGACAAATGAAAACTTCATGAGTCATGCTCCATATATCTTGATACTCGTAGTATTACAGACCACCGATAATGACAACTGATAGCAGGCAATTGAGCACATGGAACGTGCCTAGTTTGCGAATGTCACTGAGACAACACATCGGACCAATTCAGGGGAAAGGACAACATGTGGTCTGCGCTTGCATCGCTTGCGAAAAGAGTGGGCCGAGTCGGTGTTGACCAGGACGAAAACAGTTTACTGTTGCAGTGATGCTCCGCTTTGGAATTGGCGGTCTGCAGAGTACGGATGGAGACGGTACGGAGAGACTGGAGTCTAGGTGCCTAGGCTCGGCTTCGCGGGGACATCCTCGCCGTCTTGCACATTGAAACCTCACCATTTCAATGAACGTAGGCAAAGATTAAAGGGTAGATTTAATGCTGATATACAGACAAGGAATATTTATAACGGATTCAGATTCAGAATCGTGTACGAATGTCAGTGTACAGGTGCGGCCTCTGAAGCACTGCTGCCCCTGGAATGTTGCGGTGTGCAGTAGGCGGCAAGCTCGGGTGGACGTTCCATGGTTACATCCAACACGATGGCCTCGTCCTCAGGTCATAATTATTTATGCGGGCCTGACGTCCAGTAATGCAATCAATATGCCAGGAGATTGCATCGCTGGACCCAGTCATCAACGTTCTGTAAGAAATACGACGTGAGCCACAGGAAGACATTCTGGTGCCCGCAGGTATTCTGCTACCAAGTCGAAAGCTACTAAGACGTATAAACACCAGGTCCAGCCAATGGCGCGTATACGATTAAAGAAAACTTGTCTGTGCTAACTTTCAATGTGCCGACTTGCCAGAGAGAAAGGTGAGCCTCCCAACTCCTGAGCTTCGAGTTGATGAGTGGGAGCTGGGATTCGTCCGTCTATCAGATGCCAGGGCAATAGACATTGCGGGCTCATTAATGACTGAAAGAGCCATCGCAATCTGCATTCTTGCGATCTGTTGACATAAAGAACGGCCAGAATATCTTTCCTTCAATCGAAGGAAGAGTGTCCAAAGTTAAGTCGCATGAGTGGTTTGCTCCATGATTGAGCTCACGAGGTCAGAGAGTGATCTTCCTGCAACCACGGTACGCCCTGTGTTTTGAATTCAATGGTCTGGAGTATCCGGCAACGTGGAAAACAATGCCCTAGATCACTTAATAATCTCTCAGAGAATGCGCAATCTGGCCTTCCAGAAGCCTGAGTAGTGTGATGATATGCTCGAATCTGTAGCCATAATCAACCGACTTGGACGTCTCCATTGATGTCCCGCGGATCGACTCCTCATTTCAGTCATGAGTCGCGACGGCTCAGTGCAGCTACCATGGCCGGTTAAGTTTGCGCCCCTTACCTCAAGGCAATATTCAGGTCCACATCTTTGCAACAAGAGTAAGCCATCACCTGAACGCAAACGAAAGCCCTCTGACCCCCAAGAGACACCTGCGAGTAATCTTGAGTCCCCAGACGAAGGATTCAGCAATAAGAGAGAGCACTGTTGTCTGGTCATAATCATACCCACATTGGCGGCAAGAAACCACAGGCCAAATGGAGAGGGCTCGTGCACTATCAGCGTTGGATTATGGATACGACCTCAGAGTTTTGATCCAAGAAGGAACAGGGCTGATGTATTGACAGCCAATGGATTGATAGTAGAGTGACCAGTTGCCCCTGACGAACGATCGGCGGCTTTCCAGTTTCGGGGGTTCTTGGTTCAGGGGTTGTCATCCTGAACCATGGACCTTTTTGAGGGGCGAGAGGCACAATCATGAGTATGCTCCCTCAAATCTGATCGTGCTCTCAATTATCAGATATCCAGATCAACGCGAGATCCAGAACGATCTGAAAAAACATGAATGGTCAGAAGCATCCAAAAAAAAAAGTCCAATATATTGTGTGGTGTTCACGGGAAAAGGGGCGTCGGTCTCTAAAACAGAAAAATATCATCACCCAATCAGACCTCAGGCAAGCCAAACATCTCGTAGGTTCGATTAGTTCGCTTTGATCCGCCAACAGCCTTCTTCTGCCGCGAGAAAAATAGAGCAGAATAAGACTAAGACCAATTCACGAACGCGTGTTATCCTGAGCTACTCCTGATTGGGGCCGCGCCGTCGAAAAAGAAAGCACACTAAGTTCTGGATCGTCACACGAGGGCCATCATTCGCGGTTGGTCCCACTCGACAGACACCCGACTCCAAACCGAACTGGACTATTATTATCATCCATTTTCCTCTTCCTCCACTCCTTGCAGTTTGACATACCTGCTTCTATGCATCTCGAACATTGATTGTTGCGCTATTCCTGGCCTGGCTTGACCGCTGTAACAGCAGGATTCGACCTGTCGGAGAACGCGAGCAAAGAATATCAGACTTCGATGCGGAGCGAGCAGGGATCCCTACGTGGATGGTGACCAGTTTTGGTAGACCGAGCAAACAGACAGATGACGGCTACTGCTTGATCAGAGGAATTCATTCACTTTGTGCCTGTCTATCAATTCAATGAACGAACAGTATCAGTGATCTGTATACCCTGTAGACCTCTTGTCGGTCGACATGGCGGGATTGATGGACGGGGCCCTGTTGCCCACCATCAAATGCTCCAATTGCGGAATGAGTGTCGAGATCTCGGAGATGGGAGATCACATCTGCAAACCTACGCCAGGTAGTTGCTCGACTGTGAATATAACAATCATATATCTGCCTTACTGACGCTGTCCAAGCACCTCCATCTCCGCCGCCTCCATCGCCTCCCCCAAAATCCGACTCTGCGACAGTCTCGGCTCACCTGAGGAATCCGTCTGGACCCAGACTGGGACGAGCGGGCCCTCCACCACGCATCGATCCATCATTAGCGAGTATGTTATGGATACGCATCGGACTCTCCTTTCTTCTCAATAGGCGTGGACTAATGTGATTGGATCTACTAGATCGGCCCTACTTACGCCCCAACGAAGATCTATCGAAGAGTGAAAAGGAATCTCTGACCCCATCTCCGCTGTCAGTATCAACAGGACAACGGTCGCCATATTTGCAGCAAAGGAGTCGCATCTCCCCCCTTCTGGATGAACCCGATTCGCCTGATGTGATCAAACCAGTTGGCGATTTGCCGGCGTTCCCCTTGCCACGATCGATGTCCAAAAAACGAAATGCTTCGCTCTCTCAGTTGCAGATAGCTCAAACTGCACCGCCAGTCCCCTCCCCACAATTCGCGCATGCGATGGGTGGAGAGGCTCCGCTGCCTCCACAGAGTGCGCACATGTCAGGATACGAGAGAGGACGCTCACCCCCGCCTTTGAAGAAACAGCATGATGTGCCTCCCGCTCAAGCGATCTCCCATAGACATGGGGAGTCGATTGATAGCAGGAGTAGTTACGGAACGTCCGCCGGGAGTACCCGGTATGGCGAGAACAGCTCCAAGCGATCGACTGCCATGTCCAGTCGACGACCCTCTTTCGGGAGCATTGCTCAAGAGTCACATCAATTTAGGGAAGAGGCATCATCCGGCCGCGCCAATCATCTAGAGCCTTTGATCGAGCATTCATCCTCAGTCGAGCAATCAGCTGGGACGGAAAGCCGGAAGCATGACGGAAAGGGCGGCAGCTTCAGCGGGTTCGATTTCGGGGTGGCAACCGCCGAGAAGCCATTTCCTGATCCATTGCGTGTGTCGTCTCATACGAATTCAGACCGTCTTAGCAGCACACGAGGCTCCGCTGAGCTCTTCTTCCGAAGCCCATCGCAGAGTTCGTTTGGCTTACCCGCTGACTGGCTTGATCCGAATGAAGCACGATCGTCGTCTGCGTCCTCTGCCAACATATCATACAAAGCTTTCCGGCCGTCGGGCTCAGACCTTGAACAACCCAGTGTCCCGCAATCTGAGCCAAAGGTTGTGTCCAGGAAAGGCACAGATTCGAGCAGTGAAAGCAATACATCAGTTTCCAAGTTTGCCCGTGCTCTAGGTCTAGATTTTCCCGATCATGCGGCGGAAAACTCGACTTCTTCTTCTTCCGAATCGTCGCCCTCTGAAACACGA